TTTTTAGTATGACCTCGTTCGTACACCATATTAGTGTTAGGGTTAGTGTTAGAGGTGTTAGAGTTAGAGTTAGTTTTAAAGTATACGTCAACTGTATCACGTGACTCTCACTCCACGCCCGGGGGATAGCAACACCCAAAAATGCGAGGCCTAGTGCTGCCACGTAGCGACCGTCCTTTTGAGCCATGCGAACGGGTTGTGTGATTTTGTGTTATTTTCAGATTTTCTGTGGTTTCTTACCATTATCACTAGTAAGCTGCAGCACTTTTCTGCAATCCGTGTGCTTTTTTTTGTCCCTTTATAAGAGGGACTAGGGGACATATCTGAAATTTATAGCAAAGAGGAAACTGCACACATGATATGTAGCATTGTAGGCTACTCGCGTCGTATTCTCTTGTGACTGTTGACTGATGATCAATCAGCGTGAGTCATAATCATTGACATTGCATCAAGTAATCTTCTGTGAAAACACTAAAAAGTCGGACCATGTATATCATTACGGAATGTGAGACTGAGATGAGCCTGACTGGGTCAAAACCTGATATCAAATCAATCGTAATTTATGAGAACCGCTGCCGGTTTGCATTGTTACAGGTAAATACCATACTCCATAGGCATAGGCATACTAGTAATAGTAGTAGTAATACTAATGCTAGTAATAGTGCTATTACTATTAGGCCTACTACTACTACTACTAGTGCTATTAGGCCTACTATTACTAGTATTAGTATTACTATTACTATTAGTATTAGGCCCTACTTACTATTAGTATTAGTATTAGCTATTACTATTAGTAGTAATTAAGTATAGTGACTAAAAACAAAGCAAGGCTTATTTATTGAAAATCAAACGTACGCTTTCCTTACTCTACCTACAATTTATTATGTTTGAATCGACAAACTCGAACTCAAAATCTGCCTTACCTAACATTGTACGAAATGGGATTTTAGTTTTACATATAGGCCTACACAAATTTGCAGAAACTGACTAAAAAAAGTAAAAACTAAAACCTACAATACAACATGCTTTTGAAAGGCAGTGGCTACGGGTACAGTAGCCGTATCTTAATGTCTCGAGGCTACGGGTACGGGAGTCCATTCACTTTCATACTTAACGAGACAAAGATGGCGGCGGTGGCGCCAGATTTCGAAATTTCGCCTTGGGAAATAAATTCACGATTTGAGAGTTTAGATGAGCTAGAACCCTAACCCTAACCCTAAACCTAACCCTAACCATAACCCTAAACCTAACCCTAACCCTAATCCTAACCATAATCCTAACCCTAACGCCAAAAAGGGGCTTCAACGACCGACGGCTACCGTACCCGTAGCCACTGCGCTTTTGAAAAGATTTCCTCAACACTAAAGTCACTATAGCTTGCTGGGAACCTGAAATACCTGTGCACATAGATATCGTATAAAAAACTTATATGTGGCACTATGCAATACAGTTTGTGGCATTATAATTAAGACTTGGACACTCCATTGTTTTTATTCACTCCTGATAGTACACTGTCACTGTTTCCGGAGCACCGCTCTACTGTGCATGTACGGCTCGTGCGCAGTGCATACCAGTCTAAAGATACCGAGCGCCGCGCTGCATTTACATTGATCGCACAACAGGCTAAGTGCATTATCTGTTTTATAATAATAATTGAAAATAAATAGTAAGTCTAGATCACGAAAATTTATTTCAATTCCGAACGTCAAAACAAACACATTTACAGTTTAGTAAATTGCTTCACACACAATTAACAGTATGTCTAGATAAATAGTCTAGAAAATAAATAGTAAGGCTAGATCTCGAAAATTTATTCAAGTCCCGAAAGTCAAGAACAAACACATTTACAGTTGATTAAATTGCGACACACACTAACAATTTAACAGTAAGTCTAGATAAACAGTAGATAAATAGTCTAGAAAATCAATAGTAAATATACATCTCGAAAATTTCAGTTTGATGCTTAATTATTGTAAATGTTAACATAATTGCGAGCGTGCAATATGACTTTTTTGGCGCACTTTTTTACACAGTTTGGCGTGCATTATAACAACAACAACGGCGTGTCACGTGACGCGTTTTGACCAATCATGATGCATAAAATATCCGAGCCATTTTATAAATGACCATAACTAAGGTAGTAAGGACAGGAACTGAAGGGTAGATTAGACCACCAAAAAAAGATAACTATTGGTTGACGGTGACAGTAAAAATTTTGTACGAAGAGAAAAGTTCCAAGATTACACTATTTCAGCAGAAATTACAAATTCTCGACGCTAAATTAAATAGGCCATTGTAAGTTTCTATCTCAAATTGCTGTACCTTTCCTGTCCTTATAGTTGTAGCCTTGTAGGTAACAAATCGAAAACGATTGCTATTATTATATCTATAGAGCTATTGGCTGTGCCTTTCCTGTCCTTATGGTTGTAGGTAACAAGTCGAAAACCATTGCTATTGTTAGTTCTATAGAGCCTGGGTACTGAACTTCACGTGTAATGCACATTAGTCTAGCTAAGCGACTTTCTTCATTAACTCTTTGCCCCTTGGATTTTTGGGATGGAGAAATTTCCAGATGTTTGCACCATGATTTTATAAGAATGTAGCTGGTACAAGTGCTACCTGTTGTGTTATAAAGAAAAAATAACATGTTTGCATTGATCAATGGTTAATGAAAAAAAATAATCACATCTAATTTATAATATTTAAATGTTGTGTACTGATGGGCTTGCTGTTGGGAAATTGTGACTATGGCAGCCAAACTCTTCTAATTCCAGTCTCAATATTACTAAAACTGAATTAGCGTGATGTTTTAATTGTGGTGATGTTGTGTTGTTTAGCTTAGCCAACAAAGCTAACCACAACAGATACAATGGCTGATGACAGATGGGTGGAACGCTGCAGACTGGAGCATGAAAGCAGTGAAACGTGGGCGAAGAAACGGCGCTTTCTGCTCGCATACTGTCATCGATTAAAAAAAGATCGGTTACTCTGGCTTGCGCAAGTATACGTCAACATTAGGGAAAAACACGCAAGGTAAAGAGTACTACAAAAAACTCACATCTTTTGATGATGGTAAAAATGGGTGATTATTGAATATTAAATTTACTATTGACATCAGTATCTTATAACAAGTGTTCCAGAGTGACAGTCTTAATTCATCTTATGGTCTGTGGCAGTGGTGGAGCAAGAGATGAGTTCTTATTTGTTTAATGTCTCGGCCACACTAGCCCCACGGGGTGACGGTGCTCAGGGGATTTGGAAAGTCACAAAGTTAAAAATTATCAACAAGTTCCAGTTGATTCACAGAACCCTCATTTGCATCTGTAGACCCAACCAGCTAAACTTAGTTCTACTTTTAAAACAACATTCAAGTCCAGATTTCAGGAGAGTATCAACTGAAAAGATCGGTCAGAGACATAGTAGCTGTTAGTTGTATGAAATGTAACAAAATTTATTCAAAGTATACGTAATCTGATTATGTTTACAATCTGCAATACTGATCTCCTGTTCCTAAGAACTAGATATCTCATACCCCGTACAGATTGCAAATTTGATACCACATCAAACTAGTCCGGGCCTGGTGCAGGCCACATTTTTGCAGTGTGTACACGCTATCCTGCTCTAAATATGCGCTAGTCCAGACCAATCTGGCCCCGTAAATGAAGGTGGGCCCAGCCAGCTTAGAAGCAGGTTAACTTGCCCCGCACTTCAACTGTGTGTGTACGCAATGTGGTGCCAGGCGCGAATCAGATTTTGCGATACGCATGCGCATAGCCTTACTTAGGTCACATAAAAGTACAGTAGGTGTCTGCTGAACGACGTAACAAGCTAAACTGCGCATGCACAGTCAACCCGTGCCAACCTAGCACGCTTCAGAATTTTGCGCCTGTACGCTACGATTTAACGTGTGCAAGGCGTGCGTGTGGCCAGGACTAGTTTGATGTGGGATCAAATTTTGCAGTTTGTACGGGGTACCAGTGTGAGTAGCACATCGGTGTCATTGGCACAAACTGGAACCATTGGGCCTACTACAGTTCTTGATTCCCCCCCCCCTCTAAAAATGTGCTAGTGTGCTTAACTCGAAACACAATCTGCATTGTAAATTACTTCTAATAACTACTAATATTTGACTGCAGCTATCCTAAGGAGTTGATGGATGAGGTTGCTGCATTGGCAGCTGGCCTTGGTCAACTGTTCCCAAATGAACAGCCAGCTTCTAGGAACCGCGATATGAACAACCAGCCAGCCTCTAGGAACCGGGAAATGAACAACCAGCCAGCTTCTAGGAACCGCGATATGAACAACCAGCCAGCCTCTAGGAACCGAATATACAGATGGCAATCGTTTCTATAATGTACGCCGATGGTTGCTCAATTAAAACTGACTTCTTCTTACTCACTCATTTGTGTCCTTTTTTGTGGTGAGCTACAGGACACTTTCATTTGTAGATAGGAGTTACCCGAGCTTCTTTCATTGCACTGGGAAAATTGCTTTCCGCAAACATCTTATTTACAGACATGGTTAGGTGACCTGAAAAAGAAGGCTTAATAATTTTCAAAATTTTTATGGAAATGTTGTCTAGACCCGTGGCTTGACTGTTACCTGTACTTCTCTGAACGTACGTACATCGCTGATATGTACTTCTCTACCTGTGTCACAGACACAGGCTTAAAAGTGAACACTCCCTTATTTTACTGAGGCTGGGTTGGTCTTCAACTTCCTGTTCGGTCAAGTTGCGACCAATGTCCTTGGCCACTTTAGAGAAATATTTATTAAATATATTACACACAGTTTTTTGATCAGTCACTACAGCATCATTCTCGACAAGAAATATATCCTGTCCGCCACATGAGTTTTTGCTAAGGAACGGCTTAATGGTGGGCCAAAAGTCCTTGGATGTTGGCCCTCCTAGCTGTGCACCTTTCAAAGAAATAGTCTCGTATTGCTGCCCTCTTCATAGAGGTGACTTTGTTACGTTGTTTCCTGAACTTTTCGAAGTTTTTGTTTGTTCTAGATCTTTCGAAAGTTCTGTGAAGTTTCTTCTTATAGTTTATTGCCTTTCTTAGCGCTCCGTTCATGAAGGGAGCTTTCGCTATCTTCCGTTTACGTTTTTTGAACGGAATATGCTCGTGTATGGTCTCAGCAAGTAGCTTATCCAGCATGCATCGTCTTCATCGTCGAAAATATCGGCCACATGCAAGGGTGCGGATGCGATGTTGCGGTTTAGTTCACATTTGTCCAAATTTTTGAAGCTACGGTAGAAGTGTTTCCTTTCTGATGTAGGCTGAAGTGTCATCCTCATAACACTAGCCACTAGTCGGTGAACATCACTGAGGCCAATATCAACTACCAGGGTTCTGTTAAAGGACATTGGTTTGTTCGTCAAGATGACATCGACCAATGATGGATCACTATTTTTGGTGAAACACGTGTACGTGCGTGTACGTGCGTGTACCCGCGTGTACGTGCATGTATCTCCGTGTACCCGCGTGTACGTATTTTAAAAGCCATGTGACATTTACCTATGCACAGACAAATTAAAGGAACCTAAGCTGGGCAAGAGGGCAGCAAAAATGCAGTCTTCAGTTGAGGCAAAGAGAGTGCACGTTGATGAGAAAGTACACGTACCTGGTCTGATCGTGTTAGAACCAGAATGCTTCAATGGATCCATCAACGATGTATCGATTCTGCAGAACTCTGTTACTGCAAGTCACTTAAAGATGGAATGCTATCACAGGCTGCTGGTTGAACAGCATTCTCGCCGCAACCCAGTCTACAGGTGAATAGCGTAATACGTTTCTACAGGGTCATCATCTACTAGTTGCATGAATCTGATCAAATAAATAAAATCTGATAAAGCTGATAAATCTGCGTAAAGTGCAAAGAATCTACATGAATATATGTGTAAAGATAATGTCTAGAATTGTATAGATGTGTAGCCTACGTGCTGGTAGACCCTTCTAAATACATTATGACCATATCACAATCTCGGTATTTCTATCGTCAGTCATTGTAGGTAGTCATTGGTGGGGTTATGCTTGTATTTTAATATGTATAAGTATGAAAGTAGTTCATCATTAGAGAGCATTCATCACCAGGTGGCAAGACTGAATATGCTTGGAAATTCACTTTCCTTGTTAAATGTTTTGAAATTAAAGAGCTCCTATCATCTAAGCTATAAGTGTTTTATCCGTGGCATTATTCATTAAAGGTGTCGGGTGATGATTGACAACAAGGTCGTCTCTGAAGCTACCGGTCCATCGAAGCCTGGAGCCAAGGAACTCGCATGCAAACTCGCCTTGGATACACTCAGGAAAACTCATCCAGTCATTAAGGTTGGGAAAAGTAGCATGTAAAAAGTTGTAGCCGCTATTTAGGAAAGCATAGCATCGATACTTTATAGGCAGTTTAGATAGCATTAAATAGCATAACATTAGAAGTACATAATTCAGAAAGGATTATGACTCACTCAAAACATGAAAATTAAACTTTTGCATGCCTTATCATTTATATATATGATTTATTGTGTAAAATTTCAACAAAAATTGTATTGTCTATCCAACTTGCACTTAACATTTCGTTGTAAATATACCTCTTATTATGAAGATGTAATTTTGAAAGTCAGGCATGATTTTAGGCTTTCGTCTAGTGTTGTCACAGGCTAGTCGGCTTTCGTCTAGTGACTGTGTTGTCATGCTGTGATGTAAAACACTTAAGATTTCTGATGACACCAGGCATTGGCAAGGTTAGGCAGGGATACCATAACAACAATTATTTAAATTAAAACAAACTATGTTTCAGTCAACGAAGCCAACAGAAACGAGCAATGTTTATCAAACAGAGAATTAGTTTAAAGAATTTAGAGCACTTATACAGACTCTAGACCCAGTAATTAGACCTAGTGGTTAGAGTCAGTGGTCAGATGCATTACTTACATAATGCGTGGTGGTGGGGGGGGGGGGGTCACCGTATACACAGTGTAGTATGTAGTGTATGAGTCAACATAGATAGGGACAGTATAAGCATAACAGTAGTTGTGCTGCATATACGATGTGCATGTGAGTCGGTGTTATTTTCTCTGATTCAGTGATTCTCAACACTTGGTCTACGAAACATCGCAGTCATATTTAAGGAGGATGTCATGCCATCCATGCGCTTGTGGCAAATGTAGTCGCAAAAGCCAGCATAACAACACATTTACCTTTCAGGTTCACGATGCAGCAAATATTCCAAACGTGTTCTTGTCAGACCTGAAGAGTTCGGAACAAACCGATCGCTTGGGGTCAAACAATATAGGCATGAAGATGTTACAGAATATGGGATGGACCGGAGGAGGCATTGGAAAAAAAGGAAGTGAAGGTACAGCTCGACTACGGACAAGTGTCAGTTTAGATTTTACCAAATCTTTTCGTTGTAGCGTGATCTATGTGAACAGTATGTGTGGGTAGCAACCCACGTGAATAACTTGCGACAGACTGCACGCGAGAGAGAATATTTTACCTCGCATTCCTGCTGTATATTCACTTATTTTATTTCGTTTAATGCAATGTTCAGAACCCCGACGTCTTTGCTTGATATTACGCTTGTAGCACGTTAACTCTCGAGCTACGAATGTTATTTTATCTCAATTGTTTTTTATATTTTATTTATATTTTATTATTAAACAATGATATAATTTGTATAATAATAATATGTTTACTGTTCACAGGCATCAAGGATCCAATAACTGTACATGACATATACCAGGGACATAGGGGGCTAGGCCATGTGGGTTCCAGCACCAAACTGCTAGCAAAGGGAGTTAAGAAGCTGCTCACCGATTACATACAGTCATATGAAGAGAATGATCTTGTGTTTTCCTTGGAGCTCTCGAAGGATGAGAGAGAGTTGGTTCGCCAGGCTGCTCAGAAGTTGGGACTGAAAAGCCAAACCAAGAACAGGTGCTGTGTACTTGGCATTGTTCAGGCATGGGCAAATGTTTATAGCAGAAATGAGCATACGTTTTGTGTTATGCAACAGTTTAAAACTTAAGGATACTCTCAAGGTTTTAGGGAAATTTTTACCGATTTCTCATTTTCAACTTTATTCGATGGCTAACACTATGTGCCAGTTGTGTACATGCTCATTTCTCTATATAACGGTACATGTGAACTGTCAGAGCGTTTTGCTTGCCCGCGTACATGTGTAGTGAGCCGCGGCTGACATCAGAAAAACGCTCATTTCTCCATTCCAATTTCTGACTTAGTAGTCGATGTATAAATGGATATTTCTCTGTGATTACAACTTGGAATAATTTAATTTTACACTCGTTTTAATGGTAACATATTGCTGTAAAAAAGTGCGTCAGGGATCGTTATTAAGTGCCGTATTTTATTAGTTACGTCTCTTTATTCGCAAAAATTTTAAATTCAAACGTGCGACTTGAATTTTAGGCAGTTTTTTTAATTTTTCTCGGTAAATATGAAACTTAAAGAAAAATTCTGATGCTCTATTTTGGTACATATTGTGCTTAACATGTGGCGAAAATTTTGTATCCTCACTCTTTCTGGTATTTGAGAAATATCCAAAATACCATTTTTACCAGGTGCTGGAAATTTCATGAATTTTTTTGCCTTGAGCATAGAGATATATCTCCTCTATAAATAAAACAAGTGATTGATTCGATTCATTCGTCAATAAACGTTTAATCTTTATTAGAGCAATACCCGTGCAAAAGGTTGAGAGTATCCTTAACCTATTATGTTCTTATCCTATATGTGTTAAAGCCCCCGTATATCAGCTTCGTGAAATTCTGTGCATTTTCTGTGCATGCACCCACTCACACACCCACAAACTCTACATTATAGAGGATGTAAAATCATTGTAAACGAGAAGTGTATAACTCGGTCCATTACAAATATATCTGCTCTTCATTATAAGTGTCAACTAACACAGTCTCGATAGAGTGTGGCACTCTCTCCCCACCCCTCATTGCTTACACGCGCAGATAATCACATCTCTTCACAGAGATTCCTGCGTGCTTAATGTTGACACGTATTCTGCTCAGGTATCTAACCATAAAGAGAAAGCAGCACCCCACCGAGATCCTGCACCAGCTGGTGGTCAATGGAGGGCGCTACGGTCGCTACGAGCTCATCTCGAAAGCTGGGGGGGAGTCACAGGCATTGAACTACAAAGACAAGCTGGAATCGTTGTCAAACAGGTTAGGATTAGGGCGTCAATATTTTTATCTTCAGGAATTTTGGCATCAAGATTCATTGAGGTTTGCTGTCGACATCACTATCTCATAAAAATAATCAGTAATTTCCAGTTTATAGAAAAGGAACTCATTTGCATTAATAGAAAATAGCGTTAACGTCGATAGTTTAAATTTCCACAGAGTATTGGCTAAAATATTAGGTCATAGACATGGTAGCTGGTAGTTGTGTTAAGCCATGCAACATTAGAAGTTTTTACGATGTATATGTAATATTAATATGTTTGCAATCTGCAATATTCATCTCCTGTTTTTGAGAACTAGTCAGATCGGTGTTACTAGCACATTGGTGTCATTGGCACAGACTGCAACCCTTGGACCCACTACAGTCCTCCCCAAAAAATACCAGCGCCTAACTCAAAACATAGCCTTCATTGTGTGATATCTTTATAACCACTAACACTTGGTTGCAGCTATCCCAAGAGGTTGATGGGTGAGGTCAGAACATTGGCAGCGGACAATGGTGAACTCTTGAAATATAGAGGCAACACTGTAGCCTGTATGAGGTCTGAAGGTAGGATGTATTCTATCTCAGAGCGACTGGATGATGTTTTCACATGGCTTTTTGCTGCAAATCATTTGTCTAGACTAGTGTATTGGTTAGTGTGTAGTCTGCTACCGATTATATTAACCAGGATCATGGTTGCAAAAGTAATGGTGATCTATCTCCTCATAATTAACTTGCATATTTATTGTCTTACTACCTTTCCTATTTTGCTATCTGTTGACCCAGTGTTTCCTAATGTAAAAAAAATACAATGATCGAAATATTTAAATGTTATTTGAATTTTGAAGTGTTTTAGAATACATAACACTTGAAATATAAAATTTTATTCAAGCAAATCGCTGCATATCAACAATATGGTCTCGTTTATTTCACCTAGATGGCAGCACCTGGGATTCACGCCGGCAAATGTTGGACGCAAAGCGGCGTAAACTCCCGCAGCCAGTCACGGTCATGATGAAATCCACGTATGGTCAACAGACCTTTGTCGGCAAGAGAGGAAACCATGACGATTCTCCACCAGGTTACAGGGATGTGCTGGCGACGCAAGGACATAGTGCGGTCAAACGAAAGAGAGAACGTGAAATTCTCCCCGTGCAACCGAAACGCCAGTGCTCCAAATCGGAACGAATGACCTCCCCGGTAGAGCCACGGTCGAAACGTCAACACTGCAAACCACAACGAACCCACACGTCGGTGGAACAATCGTCTAAACGTGAACGAAGCCCCGACCTGAAAGAACAACGCTTCGATCGCCACCAATGGGAATGTGAACGGCGAAGCTACAAGCCTGAGCGAACTCCTGACCTGGAAGAACTACGTTCCGAACGGCAACGGCGGGAAAGTGACCGCCAACTCCCCAAATATGAAAGAACTCTCAAAGTGGAAGAACCACGTTCCGAACAGCAACGTCGGGAAAGTGAACGCCGGCTCTCTAAACACGAACAAACTACCAAAGTGGAAGAACCACGTTCCGAACGGCAACGTCGGGAAAGTGAACGCCGACACTCCAAATATGAACGAACTCCCGAACGGGAAGAGTCACGTTCTGAACGGCAGCGCGGGGAAAGTGAACGCCGAAACTCTAAACACGAACGAACCCTGCCAGAAGTTCAGCGCTACAGATCCCGACGAACCCCCAGCCCGGAGGAACCGCGACCCAAACGAACAGCAGACGTGGATGAACCGCGAACTGCCGAACCTTCGTCGGGTCGCCGCAGTGCTCACGAGCATAAGCGAATAGGATCAGTTTGCGCGCGAGCCCACCACACCCGGTAGCTAGGCAATATAGTCACATGTATTGCATGCATCTAGTATATAGCACATGATGCCACCATGCACACTTGTTTCATTAACTTCAAAAAAGAAAGAAATACTTTCCATGATGGCACTTTTGAGAGTTAAGAGCTTGCAAGCGCACGTCATTGTTTTTATCAATGAGCCATCGTCGTTAAATGAAGTTCATTAAGTGAATAAATAAATCATATAAATATACTGACAGTTGAACCGAGTACCAGCCCTTTCTTGAACATTTGTATCGTCTGTAAACTATAATTAAAGTCAGGAATCAGCTGGCTGCTTCATACTGCCAAGTCGTTGATAGACAGATAATTATTGATATAAAAAACTTCTGATACTGTGGGAAGATTTCAATTTCAGTCGGTAACTGTCGTCTCAATGTTTCTGCTATTAACGGCCGAGTGATTAACTGAATTTAGAGTGATAGCGGCAATATAAGCGTAGGTTTGACGTACTACTAGATCAATTTGTACGAGTTTTTCATGCATCCGCGTCACATTATCTACCTTGCAGCACTTCGTTGCTAAGCTGCGGGTTTCAAACGCCCCTATCACAACAATGATTGGCTAGAGCTACCTGCTAATCATGCAGCTTGCTCGAGATGGATAGGTCATTTGAACCCTTAGTTTATAGTTTATTTATAGCACGTGTACCCCTGTTTTATTAACCTTTGCGTTTTCTCTCACGTAACGGGCAGACTGGTGTCTGGTTCTGTGGGTGCAGTCGCATGGGTTCGCTACGTGCCACGCAGGGCTCCTAGTGGGCTACGGCGGTACTACAGTGTCGTCGCGATCCGGGACGATAGAGCTAATCATAGCCGTGGTGCGGTCGTCTCTGTCTTCGGCTGGAAGAAGTTGTAAGCTCCTCGTCGTGCTGTCCTGCCACTAGAAGACATCTCAGTGGGCTGGCATCTGTCACAGTGTTGTGATAAACGATCGTTTTTCGAGTGTTAAAATTATAATGATAATTGTCTAGAACTAAAATGAAGCAAGGTTTTTTTTACCAAATGAGATGTTTCGTTGTAAGCTTTGATATTAGACGCAGTGAATGGTATTCCTGAGGTCAATGTTTCTGTTACATTTTCAACTAAATCATGATTAATCATTTACTCGCTTGCAGAATGTTGAATTCATGATTCACGCAACCAGTTTAAGAACCACCGTTCGGTCTGCTATGTTCTAAAAGGCTTTCTGTTATTTTGAGCTTTTTTTTTCGTTTGAGTGATACTCTTCTTTTGTAAAGAAAATGATTGTGGTAAAAATTTGTAATGATTGTATTATAAAAAATTTGGTGCCTGATTATAGCGGGTAGTCGTTTCAACATGTAAATTTGCATGATGTAAATATACGTCAGTAATAAGGCTGCGTGCTCTAGTAATTGCCGTTACGCTTTGTGCATTCTTATTATTAAGATACCAGAAGTGGATAAAACAATAAAACAATGAGGACTTCTGAAGTAATTAATCAGGGGCGTGTTCCGGGGGGGTCCAGGGGGTCCGGACCCCCCCCCTGCTTGCCCAAAAAACGCATCTAAAATGGTCTAATTTCAAAAAATGTTTTGGGGGAGGGCCCCCCAGACCCCCCCTTCGCGTGCTCACAAGTTTGGGTTACGGTTAGACCCCCCCCCTGGTACAAATCCTGTACACGCCCCTGTTCATAATATTACCATATAGGAACCATTGATCTTTTTTTATACTAACAGTGTATAGATATCAGCAGGAGTAATATATTATCTTACTCCTGATATCAGTGATATCAGGGGTGAATAATGACAATTATTTGTCATTGACAATTATTTGTCATTATTCACCCTTGGTGATATCATAGATATATACAAATCTCTCTCCGAGTCTCTCTATAAATATATATAATTATATAAAATCTATAGCACTTGATAAGAACACAAAATACCCGATAGATGGCGCTGTGTACATCCGATTTCCCATGCGAATAATCCGTGTTATGAAAGTGTTGGAGCTTGTTTTCCATAGATTTTTGTCTGTTTGTGAGTGAATTACGTAGTTTTTGCGATGTATTTGTAATTTCTTTCGGGATTCTCAATAAGACTAAACAACGTGGTCAAAACTTGGGGCAAAAGTGAAACTATGCATATGATCTAAATCTGTTCCTGACCTGGTCGGAGTGGTCCGTGTGTGACTCACTCAAGAGTCCAGTTTAGTCACACAGAGGCAGACACAGTCACAGACACAGGTGACAGGCACTTGAAGCGTTTCAATAAAATATAATGCTAAATAAATACGAAATCTATTTACTACCAAATTCTTAATGTTTCTATACTCTCTTTCACCTATTATTGTAGTCCGCAAATGCAGACGTTATAACTCCGCTTTGCTAATCTGAGGGTGCGGTTTATCCATTAGTCATTACTGGAAGTCCATTGGGTCCATTACTGAGGTCCACACCCATTACTGGGGTCTGCGTCGGCTCTGACTACTATTATTGCCGACAGTTTCCTGTAAATTCTGTCGAAATCCTATGTGCAACATACTCCGGCGGCTGCCATTCTTCACGCGGCTGCACTGTGCACACTTACACTTATATATATAGCAGGTAGGAAAGTGTGCTGCCCAAATTCGCTCGTCACTCGCTGGATTTCACACGATTGCAACACAAATATTCAACCATTCTACTCCATCTTTGTTTCCATTTCAAGAACAGTGTTGACTTGTTATAAAAACATACTGTCTCTGTTCGTAACCGAGCTGTGTCACGCGAAATCACACAAAGACTGACACGCTATATAGACTGGCACTTGCTCCCACCTCGATTACCCATCGAGTAACTAAGCTAAGCCGAGAGGTGGGAGCGAGTACCAGTCTATGGGCTATAGGCGGCGCACTGCTTTCCAACTCTCGTACGAGCCTCGCCATTGGAGCGTTGCAAAAACGTTGCAGTGTTGCGGCGCAAGAATGAGTTCACAAAGAGCGCCGGTGGGTGTTTCCTGATTCTGACAGCCATTTACATTTACTGGGCAACGTTAGCGAATGCAATAATTTCGTCAGTCTTTGTGTGATTTCGCATGACACAGTTCGGTTACGAACAGAGACAGTATGTTTTTATAACAAGTGAACACTGTTCTTGAAATGGAAACAAAGATGGAGTAGAATGGTTGAATATTTGTGTTGTAATCGTGTGAAATCCAGCGAGCGTCGAGCGAATTTGGGCAGCACGCTTTCCTACCTGCTATATATATAAGTGTAAGTGTGCACAGTGCAGCCACGTGAGGAATGGCACACAGGATGCACATAGTATGTTGTACATAGGATTTGGACGAAATTTACAGGAAACTGTCGGCAATAATAGGTGAAAGAGAGTATAGAAACATTAAGAAGTTGGTAGTAAATAGATTTCGTATTTATTTAGCAATATATTTTATTGAAACGCTTCAAGTGCCTGTGGACACAGTCACAATGTGACTCGCATGCTTCGATGAGCTCAACTATGAGTACTAGGCAATTAATTATGCTCTAGAAATGTTAATTTTTAGCTCATCTGACATAGTCAGATGCAGCTTGTAGAATCGCACGATCGTCCGTCCGTGCGTGCGTCCGTCCGTCCGTCAACAGTTGGGCACAAATCTTAACCGCTCGACGTACGGTCACGATATTCGGCACATCGGGGGGGATCGTCAAAACGAGTTGGGATGTCGAAGCTGGGGGTCAAAGGTCAAAGGTCAAGAGGTGTAAAAGAAGGGGGAACATTCACTCCTTAACTTAAGGTATAGGGAGGAAATGCAGAATTGCGGCACAAATCTAAACGGCTCGACCTAGGCTCGTGATAGTCGGTGTATAGCATCATGGTAGGAAAAGCCATCACTGTGCCGAAATTGGAGGTCACAGGTCAAAGGTCAATGGGCACAGGGCAGATTTTAGATATTTTCTGAGGACATGGTCTGACGGAGCGATTGAAAAACTTTTTTGTTTCAGCGGTGACCTAGCATTTTTATGGCTTTATTGAAAGGACCATGAAATGTCCCTTCTGCTGACATGCGAAGAGTAAGTGTCGGATAACCTTTTGACCCTCAAGAGGAGGGTTAAACATGAATTTGTTTACTAGCTGTCTGTTAGAAAGAATTTGACTGCCGGGTTTGCTAGTAGAATCTATACATGCCTGGATGTACGAGGCTACAATGTCTCAGTGAAATTTCAAAAGCTAAATTTGGTTGAAGAAGGTTTGTGCTCCTTAAATCCTATAATTTCTATGGCATTCTGTACTGTCAGTATTTTACATGTAACGTATGCCACTGCCAGTGGCCACTGCCAGTGCATGTGGTGGTGGCTATGTAGTTTTTGCCTGCGTTAATTAGTTACAGGTGGCAGCTCTCTATTGCAGCCTGTAGGCTTGCGTAGGTAAATGGATGAGTGCTTACCTATTCTGTCTTGCAAATAGTTGTTGCTACTACATACGATGGGAGCTTCCATCTTTAATCTGAAGACACTTAAACGTACGCGCCATCTCGTGGCAACTTTCATAACGATCCCAACAAACATTCCTTTGAGAAGGTTCCTGATACCATCCCTGTGCATTCCACTGTTTCGGCGTGTATGTGAACACATTTGGGACTAACAGGGTTTACTAGAATCCCACCACTCCACCACAGAGTCACCGCAGTAGACGTTAGATGAGCGCTGTCGCTCCGCGGCACTTGTTATAATCTGCTGGTATTCTAACCTCAGCCTAGGGCACAATAGGCTTCCATAAGCAAATTATCGTATTTTTGTATGACAACTTTTCCATTTTTTGTTTGTTTTCCTGTTTCATTGGATTTGAAATTTGCCTACAAGTCAATCTTGCTTACCTACAGTGCTACACGCTACTACACGATTATGTCATAAAACACTTGCTATGTATTATTACTATAACTATATAAGCTTCTTAAATAGCCTTATAAGTTTAATAGCTTTTTATCTAATAAAAATATTTTACATCAAATTTTCAAAACTGTTTTGAACTATCATAATGGCATGAACTTGGGTATCACGTGAAACAATCATGTGACCTAATTACTATAGTCAAAACATGCACTGAAAATTGTGGAGTAAAATGGTGAAAACTGGGATACCTACTATGGCATTTTCATTAAACAATGAGTAGTAGTTTGCGATAAAAACATAAATCACAATTTGTAAAATTTGAAGCTTTATACTGATGGGCTTACTGTTGGCCCTGTGAGGCAGCTAAAGTGTTAAAACTGGTAATAATGGTAAACTGAAAATAAATTGGGCTGAGATGTATCTTAATCATGGTATTTGGTTGGGGTTTTGTTCCCAGCAAAGCTAACACAACAGATACAATGGCTGATGACAGTTGGGTGGAGTGCTATAGACTACAACATGAAAGCAGTGAAACGTGGGCGAAGAAACGGCACTTTCTGCTCGCATACTGTAATCGATTCGAAGAGGATCGCTTGCTCTGCCTTGCACAAGCATACGTCAACATTGTGGAACTGGGTTGTAGGTACGCACATTACTTCATGATTCTATCGTCGCCACAAAAAGGCACTGATTTCCCTTGTCTAAAATCCCACCCCGCTAAATCCATTTTTCCACAAGAAAATGGGCTACCATCTAAATTTGAACTAAGCATGGGCTAAGAAAGTTTATCAGAGAAATTATAGTAGCTGGTAGTGGTAGTTGTGATGGGCCATGCAACGTGGACATGTGTATGATGTATACGTAATAGGATTATATGTTTGCAATCTGTAATACTGATCTCCTGTTTCTAAGAACTAGACAGGTCATTATTAGAAGCATATTGGTGTCACTTGCAAAAGCTGGACCTCCTTGTTCAACTACAGTCCCTATTGGTACCTGATTTCTCAAGTTTCTACAGTTCTTGACTTCCCAAGAAAAGGTACTGGTGTGCCCAACATTCCCTTCAATGTATAATACTTCTAATAACCTCTTAAACCTTTGGTTGCAGCTATCCAAAGACGTTGATGGATGAGGTTGGCTCATTGGCAGCTGACATTGGTGAACCTTTGAAGTATAGAGGCAAGACAATAGCCTTTGTGAGAGCAGAAGGTAGGCAATATTTCGTCACAGAGTGGCCAGCGAATCTATCGACCTGGTCTATCCTAATGTAATAAAAATACAAAGATTTTATTATTTTGATATTTGAATATTGAAGTGTTTAGAATACAAAAAAACAACTTAAAAATGGAACATTTCACTAAAGCGAGTCATTGCATGTCAACAATATTATTGGTTATTTCATCTAGATGGCAGCACCTCGGAGTCGAGTCAGCAAATGTCGGAGGCAAAACAGCGCACACTCAGGCAGCCACTCACAGTCACGATTAAATCCGTGTACGGTGAAAAGACCTTTGTCACTGGCCGGTCCACCGTTCAGGGGTCTCTCGGCAAGAGAGCCATCCATGAAGATTTTTCACCAGGTTACAGTGCCACGGATGCCATGGCAGCGCAAGGACTTAGTGCAGTCAAACAAGAGCAAGACGATATGAGATTCTTTCCCAAGAAAATAAAATGTGAAAAGAACGATCTAATGTTTTCCCCTGAGATCTTGAAAGAGGCGAGAGAGATAAAGCCCCACCCTCCTCAGAAGTTGGGACTGAAGAGCCAAAGCAATAATGGGTACAGTGTACTTGGCAATGTTTCTTGGCAAATGTCTATAGTATAAAAGACATATGTCTATAGTATAAAAGACATATGTCTATAGTATAAAAGACTTACTTTTTACCCGTATAAAAACGGGTCGTTCACAATTATCAACATTTTCACAAGCGTACAAACCGTACGCTGGGAGGCAAGGGGTCAATGCCCGCCGTACGTTTTTAGCATTTCCGAAAAATGGCGATCAATTTCCTGCGCCTCGCGCCCCAGCCGGGATCGTGCGCATCCTCACCTTGCGACTCGCCGAGCTCCGGCCGGCACGCGCCCCGTACGGGCCCGCTGAACGAACGAACCGAGCTAGCTAGCTATAGCAGCCGAGTGCAGTGTAAACAACTGGCACGATGGCGGGCAATAGTTCTAGCCACCTGGTGACCTGGATCAATTGTTCCAGGGTTTGCATGTGATTCACATACCTGTATCTCCATGTAGAATAGTGTGGGGAAAAAATCAACATTTTTCTTTATTTATGTGTGTTCTTATGTGTTAGACATACCGTGCAATGAATCATATTTCTAATAACTACTAACATATTTGCCTGCAGCTATCCCAAGAAGTTAATGAAGGAGGTTGGCACACTGTCATCTGACCTTAGTGAATCGTTACCTAACGAACCCCCAGCCTGGAGGAACCGCGACCCGAATGAACAGCAGACGTGGATGAACTGCGAACTGCCGAACCTTCGTCGGGTCGCCAAGGTGCTCGCGATCATGAGCACACAGGATCAGTTCGCGTGCGAGCGCATCGAAGTGGCCTGCTCGAAGCTGCGGATCCTTCACAAGGTTAGCGCATCGAATAAGTTTATCAGATTTCACAATAATATAAGAGTTAATCTCATTTCCGCTTCAATTTTTTAACTTGTCAGCGACACTTGCAACAATTGATCTAGTTGTTTTAGTCTAACCAAATAAGGTCACTTTGGCAGCTTGTCAGGTTCTTGTCACCTGTTGCCATCTGTTGACAAACTCGAGCAACTTCATTCTGAACGACAGAGCATTCTAGGTCGGGTTTCTAACAAAACTGTTACTAATAAGTTAAAAAAAGAATAAATAAATAATATAAATAATTAGGAGAACGAAAAAATCAAAATCAAACAATAATTTCATGAATAATTATTGTTTGATTTTGATTTTTTCGTTCTCCTACTTCCACAAGGTCGTCTATTCCAAGGTTGATCGTTTGCCAAAGAATCCTCTGTGGCGCGCAGACGTTTATCTCGATGGTGTTCGTCTCGCGAGCTCTGACGCCGAGAAGAACAAGAACACAGCGAAACACAAGGCGTATCAGGCTGCAGAGCTGCGACTGCGAGCGCTGCCACCCGAAGCAACGGTAGCAGCTGCACTCGACGGAAAAGGTAACGAGCTGCAACTACAATGGTGGCGTGTGTGCGTCTGTTCTCGGCTATGCGTCTGAGTAGTTTCTGTTGTGACACACAGATGGCGCTAGGGGTTTGTTTTAATAATAGGACGAATCATAGTGAGTAGCAACATCTGCAAAGGTAGTTTCTGTACAAATAAAACTGCACGCTTGACTGGGTTAACTCAATACTGTTATGTGTAGCTCGCTACACTGTCTAAACGTCAGTTTGTTTTTAAATCTTTGCAACGTTTACCTGTGCGCAGGAAAAGTAATAGTAGAACCTCCCAAACCGGTGGAAGTGGAAGCGAAAGTAGAGTCTTCCGATGACACGGGCAAGACGCATGTTTCCGAGAAAATACAGATACCTGGTCTGATCATCGTCCTAGAGCCTGAATGCCTCGACGGCTCCAGCAACTATGTATCTACGCTGCATAACTCTGTTACTGCATGCCGCTTAAAGATGAATTGTGATCATGTGCTGCTGGTAGAGAAACGGTCATGCAATGAGCCGCTCCACAGGTGAATAGCATAAACTATTTCTACAGTGACATTATTTGCTAGTGGCATGAACGTGTATATGTGTAAATTGCATAGAATTTATGTGCAAATGACTTGTTTAAACTTGTGTGTAAAGAATTGCAGAATTCTATAGATATGTTCGAGCCAGTAGAACCTTGTAAATACATTGAGATGATTATCACAGTCTTAGCATTTCTATTGTCTGACATTTGAGGTAGCCAGGTGTCATTACTATGATTAGTGGGGTTATAGTTGTATTTTAATATACTTCAGTATGAAAATAGTTCATCATTGGGGAGCTGGCTTCAAATATCTAGGTTTCTCAAGCTACCCACACTTATTTATATAAATTGCATGTAATTCATGCGTAAAATAATTAATAGTTTGTAATGTTAATTTTGATTTTGTTTATTTCTGTCTTAATTGTAAAATACAGATGGATGTAAGGAGTAGTCTGTTCTATTCCTCACCAGGTGGCAGTGGCAGTAGTTCTAATAATTCACGTGCCTAGTTATGCATTTTCAAACAAAAGAGCTTATCTTATTTAAGCTATAACTGTTTTTTAGTGGCATTTATTATTTATAGGTGTCGGTTGATAATTGAAAACAAGGTCGTCTCTGAAGCTACCGGTCCATCAAAGCCTGGAGCCAAGGAAGTCGCATGCAAACTCGCCTTGGATACACTCAGGAAAACACATCCAGTCATTAAGGTTGGGAAAAGTAGCATGTAAAACAAGTTATAGCTGCTATTTAGGCAAGGGTGCAAATCCACTTTAGGCACCTTAGGTATCACAAAGTGATGCACAGATTTCTGTGTATCATCAACGGATTCACAGACTTTCTGTATATCAAGGAATGATGCAAAAACCCTAACCCTAACCCTAACCCTAACCCTAACCAGTAACCCTAACCCTAACCCTAACCTTAACACACTTCGTGATACCTAAGCCTAAGGTTATACTTTATGACTTAGGGTTAGGGTTAGGGGTTTTGCATCATTCCTTGATATACGGAAAGTCTGTGCATCAGTTGATGATACACAGAAATCTGTGCATCAGTTGATGATACACAGAAATCTGTGCATCACTTCGTGATACCTAAGGTGCCTAAAGTGGATTTGCGCCTTAGGCAAGCATAACATCGATCCTATATAGGCAGTTTAGCATTAAATAGCGTATGGTTGGACGTAGGATTTGGACGGAATTTACAGGAAACTGTCGGCAATAATAGGTGAAAGAGAGTATAGAAACAGTAAGAATTTGGTAGTAAATAGATTTCGTATTTAGTTAGCATTATATTTTATTGAAATGCTTCAAGTGCCTGTGATACACAGCCTGACATCCATCCATTGGATAATCTTGTACCTCTACAAAAACTGCAGAACAATTAAGTATATCTCAAATAAAATAATAATCTAAGCATTTCTGCCTTGTTTTAAATTGTATCAAGTATAACCTTTACCTTATAGTATTCCAGCATTGTTATTAAAACTAATACCTCAGTTCGCTGTGCACAGTGTAAATTTCAAGAGCCGAACCTAAATTTCACTTTAACCGCCAACCGCCATGTTTCCACTGCGCATGCATTTCGATCGGAACGCGGAAAACCCGAAACGACATAACATACCATATAGCGTTGCAACTCGCGTTGGTGCGAGCATAAATAAGCATCATATACTCGTATATATATAAATATTAAAACATTGAAAACCAGGAAACATCAATCTACAACAACTTAATAATTATCATTGCGAAGATATGTATTTGCCTTGTGTTTAGGCCTACGCACTGTGCAAATCAGGTCCATTGCCGATTTTAGTCGCACCGAACATGGTGGACACGGCGGCTGTCTGGTTGTTTTCATCCAATTCATCTCAGAAAATACGGCATAACTCGATAAATAAGTAGCGCCCAGTTACCGCGAGCAAGCCAGAGGTTTATAGATTCGTTTGAGCTATTACATGTGACGCTAGGTGTGGCGATGTTTGGATACCGAGCCAACTACAAGTTTTTATGGGCAAGAATTTGAAATGGTCTTCTAACCCTAGCAAAGACCGTTTCTTGGAGCTAGTAATGTATGAGAGGAGATAGATAAGGACAGTGATTAGATGATTCCAAAACCTGCATATCTGAAACATTGCAGTCAATGTTCAACAAGAATGTTCCCCAAGAGCATTTGTGGCAAATGTAGTCGCAAAGGCCAGCATAACAACACAAATTTACTTTTCAGGTTCATGATGCATCAAGTACTCCAAGTGTGTTTCTGTCAGATATGAAAGGCTCAGGGCAAAGTGATCAGTTGGGGGCAAACAATATAGGCATGAAGATGTTACAGAATATGGGATGGACTGGAGGAGGCATTGGCAAAAAAGGAAGGGAAGGTACAGCTGTAACTGATGCGCATCAGTATAGATTTGATCACTTTTGCTCGAAATTATGCTTGTAGCACGTTAACTCTAATGGTATGTCAATTGTTATATTTATTTGAGTTTAATTTTCTTAATAATCAGTGATAGAATTTTTCTAGTAATAATATGTTTACTGTTCTCAGGTATCGAGGAGCCAATAACAGTGAATGACATATACCAGGGTCATATGGGGCTAGGCCATGCGGGTTCCAGCACCAAATCACTAGCAAAGGGAGTTAATAAGCTGCTCGCTAAGTACATGGACTCACACGAGGAGAACGAGCTTGTGTTTTCCTCAGAGCTCTCAAAAGAGGAGAGAGAGTTGGTTCACAAGACTGCTCAGAAGTTGGGACTGAAGAGCCAAAGCAGAAATAAGGATGGAAATAGGTACCCAGTGCTTGGCATTGCTCGAGTGTTAAAGTTCGATAGAGGCTTTGTAAAATCATGTTTTTTCTGCATATATATGAACTTATGCACACACACACACTGAAACTCTACACTATACAAGATGTGAAATCGTTGTAAATGAGAAGTATAACTCATTCTATTATCCACATTCCATATATGCACATTAAATGCTACATTTTACGGGATGTAGAAGTATCAACTATCAATCTATCACTGTAAAGTATGGCACTCTGTCCCCACCTCTCATTGCTTACACACGCATGTCCAATCGCATCTTGCAACAGAGGTTCCTGCTTAATGATGAGAGGTATTCTGCTTAGGTATCTTATTGTGAAGAGAAAACAACACCCCAGTGAGATCCTGCACCACCTGCTGGCCAACGGAGGGCGCTACGGTCGCTATGAGCTCGTCGCGCAAGCTAGCGAGGAGTCGGAGGCGGTGAATTCTGAAGACGAGCTAGAACCATTGTCAGATGATGACGTAGGTCAGCCAGCATTTGGTTATGTTCTATGATCACAGCAGCAGCAGCAGCTTTAGTAGTAGCAGAAGCAGCAGCAGCAGCAGCAGCAGTAGCAGCAGCAATAGAAGTAGTAGCAGTAGCAGTAGCAACGGTAGCAGCAGGAATAGTAGCAGTAGTAGCAGCAAGGGCTGGCTATTAGATAAGGAAGGCAGGGAGGACAGTATAGAATGAAGAAGCGTGGGGAATGAGGAAAGTTTTATATACAGCCTTCCAGCGGTATACATCCGTGTCCTCGTCCATTTGTTGCGTTTGTTTGTTTGTCTATTTGTGTGTATGTTTGGGTAAGAGTATTTATGTGTGCGAGCGCGTGCGCGCTTTATAAAGATAATTAGATGTCATAAGATTAATAGAGTAAATGTTGTTGCTCATGATTCCATCAGTGATATGTTTATTACAAATTGATGAGGTTTGTAAGCATGTAAACATGTAAGAACCATGTTAAGGTAAGCATGCTTTTTCGTTTACATGAGATTAGTCGAAATAGGTCAGTGGTAAATTTTGAATTTGTAGAAATTACGCTGTGATCCGTAAGTTTTTAAAGATAAGATAATCATCTACAATCTAATTCTCAAATCAATATATGTAAAGGAATTTACTATAGGGACTGCCTGCGTACCCGCATTCGCAACTGTATGGAGTTTGTTCTGCATAATAACAGGATATGCAACGTATGATATGGAGGATTTATATGCAAATAAATAGGGACACATTAAACATTTACTAAGAAACTAATGTAAATAACTGATGAAATCTATCTGTTCATTCTGTTACTCCAGATGTTGTGCATAACTTTAGTGTGAAAACCTAAAGTGAAGTGAATGCTAATCAAAATGTAAAAATTATGTTTCTATTTAGGCAAATAATTCGCGTTTCAGTGCACTCAATAACCAAGATTACATTCTCATAGTCCATATCTCACGATCCAAACGACTAAGGAACCATGTGTGTCTGATATTAGATCTCTATATCTGTGGGCACTTTGGCAGTGTGTTGGAAGAGGGAGGCATTTTACATGTAGGAATTTTGTTTTCTAAATGTGACTAAAGTGCATTGCACTGCACACTCGCGTATAGGTCTATATAGATCTGTGTACGCGAAAAAAATTCAGTCATGAACTGTGTAAACAGAATTGTAAATAATCGTCAATCGTTAAAATCCGTGGCTTGTGAATTGCCCAGTATGCTAGTACCAGTGTAATATTTTATTTATTTACGAGTTTGTTTTATACTAGTTTGATTTTTGTTGGTCTTCGTCATTTCGATTGTTTTCCGGTGAATCCCGCGCGTGTTGTGCACGAGCTAGCGTCGTAGCATGTGTCGGCCCATCATCGCCATGGCTTCCTTGTCTGAGTGCATCGCAGACAGTAGTATTAATAGCTACGCGGGTCGAAATGTCATGTCTCGTGCGCCATGATTGATTGACGGTAGAGCCCTGGACAGTTGCCACACACATTTCACTGTGGATTTTTTGCGGGTTTCTTCTCAATTTATTACGCAGAAAAAAGGAATCACAGTATTTAAATTGCTTTTTTAAAAACCTGTCGGTAATGAATTTTTAAAAAGAATATACAAGCGGTAAGAGTAAATCGTTATTTATAGTTTCGTCAAACAACACGCTTACCGTCGTTATGCTGCTTATGAACTGTTATTGATTAACGGGATATAAATCTAGCTGTAATTTAATGTAATTTGTCATTCCAGTAGCATAATGTACATGTGTCTACCCCGCCACCGATCACTTCTGAATCAGCCTACAGTAATACTCACACATGATCTATAATAATGATTATTATATCAAATATAACTAATAATTTATATTACGCAAAAGCGGAAAATGTGGAAACCCGGAAAATAACGAATATACTAGCGGAAATGATTTTAATATGAGAATATTTATTTTTGTGTGCGTACTTGACTCTCACGCGAGTGAGCTACATTTGACTCTCAGAGACTATAACAATAATATCGAAAAACACGACTAAACTAAACACAAAATATACAAAATAAATACCACAGGCACTTGGAAAGTCTCAATAAAAAAAAGAAGGTAAATAAACACTAAATCAGGAGCGTATAATGATAAATACTTGTCATTATACGCTCCTGACTAAATGTATTTACTACGAAAGTCTTAATGTTTCTTTACTCCATTTCGCCTATAATCACCTGTAAATGCCTGTCAAATGCTCATCTGCAACACACAAGTACACCACGCGCAAGCTGCTGCACACTGACTCATAAATATCTATACCTCTTATGTAGGGATAGGGAAAAAGCAAGGGAGAGGAAGTCTAAGAGGAGGTGGCAGTGACAGAGGGGAGGAGATGAGACGGTGAGAGAGTCAGAGAGAGAGAGAGAGGGAGAGAGAGAGAGAGAGAGAGAGAGAGAGAGAGAGAGAGAGAGAAGCGTGCCGGTCTGTCCGTCTACGCGTGCATCAACTAATGAAAGTGTCAATGACACTGTAGCTCACCACAAAAAGGACACAAATGAGTGAGTGAGAAGAAGTCCGTTTTAATTGAGCAACCATCGACGTACATTATTGAAACGAAGAGTATATATGGGAGAACTCCCATTATATACTCTTGATAATTATGTGTAATTTTTTATGTGAAAATAAATGTTCGAGATGTGAAAGTCTGAGATGTGGGCGAGTGATGGCGTTACACCTAAATGATCGCCATTTAACGTATTTATAATATTCAGATTTAGGCACTGCCTAAAAGCGGAGCTCCCGATGTGTAACGTGTAAGATTGAAAGGATACGCTTATTCTACGTAGCTGCTATATACCACGTGACAATGGTGTTTCCCTGCCCATAACACAACTTTTGTCAAAGGTTAATTGGTTGCATAAAAGTGTTTACTTCATATGAGTTTTTCTAGGCGGTAGCACACGGTTGCCATCTGTATATCGCAATAATAATTTATAAATCAAAATGAATCACAATTTGTGAGGGTAGATGGCGCTATACACGCTTTGATGTTTCTTAGCGATGGCGTTCGAAATAAATAGGTTATGCTGCGTTCCGACATGTTTTGTATAATTTTACTCTAATATAGACGTTTTATCGGCAGGGTGAAGAGGAGATACCAATCTTGTAAAACGAACCAGACGAGTGTGACACCACAGACTGTTTGTTATCTGCATGTCTATATATTATGCTATATAATTGCCAAAACCTACCTAATTTGCATAATATTTTTTTTAAATATCAAAACCCCTAGCCCTTATTTATTCACAAACCAAAAATGAGCAAAATCCGTTGAACCTGAATTGACTGATGGCAATTCCCATTTTTGCCAAAAAATTGCCGTGGCTCGAAAGTACGTCGACTGGCGTGCTCCAAAATAGGACGTTCAATATGAGAGCATAGCAGTAACAACTATACCTAATTTCAAACATGTGGGTCAAACGGTGAACGTACGAACGTATGACGGTCGACGACCCATGGCAATAGCTCAGCTATAGTATAATATAATATAGATCACACATTCCTCCCTTCGTTCCAAGACCGCATGACAGGTGCCGGGACGGAAGAACAGACGAAATATTTCTGCTTGCGCGCGGGTTTTTTCATCATAAAATATCCTCCGTGAGGTGCCTTTTTGCTGGCGCAGTGACATTAAGAGTAGTTGTTGTTTTTGATCGTCATCGGTTTGCTTTGCATTCGTGCAGTGTTATTCCACTTCAAGGTTATACAATCGCAGTTGTATATTTATTCTACATAAGCTCGACATGCGAGGAAAATGTAATTAAAAATGTCATATTGCGAGTGAACCGCCATGTTCTCCAATAGACGAGAAAAATATCGGATAGAAATGATAAGTACGAGCATTCCCTGAATTAGTTTTACATTGTTCCCACTTAGCAAGTTACTTTCAGGTATAATGGTAGTTTTCTTTAACTATAATAGTTGCTATTGCTGTTGTTGTTATCGAGTTTGCAATGTGTGATTTTGGTAGGAGCATCTCTGGTCATCTTCACAAACATGGCGTAATAATTTTGGGGTTGTAAGTGTAACTCTGAACTCACACAACTATTCATCTAACTCACACGCTATCTTTCACTATCTTTCACTTCGTTGTCCTCTGTTCAATCAATTGTGTGCCAGGAATACCAGCACGGGAGAGCGCGCCACCGCAGCAGCAGCATCGGCCGTAATTAAATACTCTAGAAATAGCAGTGGCACGTGTCAGCGGGCCGCCACACTGGGGCATGCCATATCTGGTATAGAGGCAACGCGGAGGCTCCACACCAGCGCACAGCTGCGATCTCTCACCGGTACAAAGCTTACAGGTCTCTCTCTCTCTCACGCGCCCGCTCTCTTTCTCGATATCTCTCCCTGTTCTCTCGAGATTTCTCTCTCTCATTTTTTTTCTTTCGTCCCTCCCCAACACACACACACACTCTCTCTCTCTCTCTCTCTTGTTATATCTTTTTTATCCGTTCTTTCTCTGTGTCTCTCGCTCTGAGTAGTTCTTCCCCCTTCTCTCACTCTATCTCTATCTATCTATCTATCTATCTATCTATCTATCTATCTATCTATCTATCTATCTATCTATCTATCTATCTATCTATCTATCTATCTATCTATCTATCTATATCTATATCTATCTATCTATCTATCTATCTTTATCTATCTATCTATCTGATCTATCTATGCTATCTAATCTATTGTCTCATGATCTATATCTATCCAGCTATCTATCTATCTATCTATCATCTATGCTTATCTATCTATCTATCTATCTATCTCTCCCGCGTCATCTCTGCTCTCTCTGTCTCTGTTTCTTTTGGTCTAGCCCACTCTTGCTAACGCCACTCTCTGCTGCTCTGCCGCTTGTCAGTTCATTCCGTGCTCCGCGTGTTTTGTTTCTTTGACTTTTTCTAGTCTGCTGCCCCTTTGCATCTTTTTCTGCTCGGTTCCCTTCTATCGAGCTTTCTCTGTCCTTGTTTATCCTGCTTTCGGTCGTCGGTGCTCTATGTTCCCTCTTTCTTCCCGCACTCGCTTCGCCGCCTTCCCCCATCTCCGCTCCAACAACGTTGGGCATTACATATTGCTATTGAATGACGGTGGCTGTAAGAAATCCGGCAGCGATTGCCGTCATTTGTAAATGCAACGGCCATACCCGCGCCAGATTTTTTTTCCGACTCGTTTTATTATTTAGTTCTCTTACGGCATCGAGGCTCCGCACGAAATGCAATATATCTAGCGCAGCTGAAGCCACATCAACCACTGACTCCACCGCGGTTGCCGTGGCCACATCGCTGCTGGCCTCGTAAGCAGAATACTGGCCCGCAGACTAATTCACACGCGGTGGTGACCCACGGCGCAAACGTTAATTATAATTAATCTCTGGTGATTTCCCGGCTTGCAGACGATCGGCGACAAATAGAAACGATGCGGCGATTGCAACGCGGCGCACACTCTTTCTCGTTGCTTATATATAGTAATTAATTACTGTGATAAAAAGGCCTTGAGAGGTTTGAGAGCGTACATAAGCGACCGTTTAAAGACGGCTGTTTTTGTTTTCGTTAGCTGTAGGGGCCAATTGTCGATCTATCTCTTTCTCCGAACTCTCTCTTCTCTCGATCCACGCACGCACGGCACGCAAACCACACGATACCGCAACGCGCCGCACACACACACACACACACACACAGCAACGCACACCCACCACACACACACACACACACAACACCACACAAAGGCGAGAGAGATACGAGAGAGAGAGAGAGAGAGAGAGAGAGAGAGAGAGAGAGAGGGAGAGAGAGAGAGAGAGAGAGAGAGAGAGAGAGAGAGAGAGACGAGACAGAGAGAACAGACTTACGCCGCCAACCCGCGCCAGACGCACCCAGCCCACGCCGAGACGACGCACGACGCACGCAGAGAGCAGAGAGAGAGCAGAAGAGAGAGAGAGAGAGAGAGAGCGAGAGAGAGGAAGAGAGAGAGAGAGAGAGAGAAGAGAGAGAGAGAGAGAGAGAGAGAGAGATGGAAAACATACAACTACAATGTATAAAGAAATACCATACATACAAAAGCAATACCTATATAGTATGCTCTTCTCCCGCAGCGGTAACGAAGCGCAATGCGAGCAATTAGCTGCATTGTGGGCGTGTTTTCAGCCAGCATCTTTGATTAATTTATGACAGTGGCACCGAAGGCTGGAATCGAGTTATATTATCATTAGTCATTCTTCGAGCAAATAAAGAGTGAGAACTTCGGGCTATATGTAAGCTTCGCCAGTACACGAGATTTACAGTCTAGCATGGGGCAACTAGTCAAGAAACGATAAAGACCAACATGAACTACATCGGCGAGATGTAACATTGCTCATGGAACTATAATCGACACGATACGGAAACCAAACACTGTAACTATAGGCCGCATTCCGAACAATAGAATCTCTCGCAGGTAACCTAACTACAACCTGCCATTCGCTTTTAGCACGCGTCCCTCTTATCTTTGCCTTGATTTATCTACTTTCGCATCTCTGATCATAAGAAATTTAGTGTAATGTTACTTACTAACGCATACAACCAAATACGGAGAACAACCATATTACAACCTAGACATAATGACGATATAAGTGATATGTAAGCGGACACGCTCTATTGACATACACCCACGAATTTACTACGAATCTACAGTAATTTTGCTAGCACACGTCCGATTCATTCGCGAAAGAAATCAGAGCTCTGAGGGCACTGTCTAACGTCATTTTCTGTCGCTAATACAGCTGGCGGACGTCCTGCCCGTGCCGCACTAGCTTGCAGAGCCTGGCACGCAAATAGGCGGAGAGAGAAAGAGCTAGATTTAAGAAATCTATAGGGCAGCAGAGCGCGCAGGCCCCGCGTGCTGGCTTTCGCCCGTAGCAGACAGT